ATTTTCACTTTCGTTTGGTCCTAGCTAAAATTTTATATTAGGTCGAGTAAAAAGTTTTATGCAGTTTTGAACCCGGCACAATTTCATTAAATAGTCTTTTTGAATTTCGAACACGGAATTTAAAGAAACCAAAGACAATTTGGAGCCTGTTAGTTGATATCAAACAATCGACTACTAAGAAAACTTGGTTTTATTGGTTTACTTGAATTTAATTCTTGAAAAAGTGTTGATATCTTTGGTTTTGCAACAAACATTACTTATTTTTAACATTAAGGTGAGGTTCTATCAATAATCTATGGATACTTCACCTGAAGTGGCCGCCCAAGCTGTGGCACTTATTCAGGCCGGACACAGCCAAAGAAACGTGTGTTTTACGTTTAACGAACTTAATTTAAGTCGATCTGCGGTCCGAAATGTTTATCGGAGGTACCTAGACACTGGCGGCTTTGTTCGTCGCCAAGGAAGGCCACGATCTCGGGTCACAACTGAAAGGCAGGATCAGGAGCAGAAAATCAACTTCGCGACTGTTAGGGCTTGCCAGTAAGTTGCCCAGACGATGCAGGAGTTGAAAATTGCCATAAAAGAGGAATGGGAGATGATCCCTCAAAATTTCATAGAGCGGTTGACCTCTATGCCTAATCGTATGAGAGCTGTGGTAGAAGTTCATGGAGGCAACATTAAATTAAACCTTTATTTGATAAAACATGTTTTTATTCAAAAATCTAGCCTTTAACAAGGCGCATATCCGATTTGTTAGGTGTAGCTCCGTGTCGTATGGTATTCTGAATTCAAATTTAAAACAATACGATCGAAAAAGATGGTTTAAAACTGCATCAACAGTTTTTGTTCAATCTAGCAATCATATTTCGGTAGTGGCAATCGAAATCTAAACTCTAAGGTGGGCCAATAGATGTGTCATGAAGTATATATAGATTGGTACAGTTTTATCGCATTTCAATTGTTTAGTCATCATGAATACGATAAAAAATCGAGTAGTTATGGTATATGAGTACCATCGCAGAAACGCGGAACAAGCGGCACGCAACATCAAGGATATCTACGGAGCTAACACAACAAACCATCACAACACCTGTTATTGGTTTACTCGTTTCCATTCTGAAAATTTCCACCTGAAAAATGAAACCCGCGGCCGTCCGAAGACTTTGGTCGACAATGACGAAACGCGATGGTGAAAGCTGATGATATACAATCTACGGTTAAGGTACGGTTACGGTACAATATGCTAATCTTTAAGTGTGGGAGAGCCATGCTTCGGCACGAATGGGCCGGTTCGACCGGAGTGATACCACGGCGTCACAAAAAGCCGACGTGAAACAACGCTTGCGTTGTGTTTCGTCGTGTGTGTGAGGTTACCGGAGTCCCAATTACCCCTTCTCAAGTCCCCGTCTCCTCCACAATCCTCAAATTCCCAATTCCCAAAAAGCCGGTAACGCACTTGTAACGCCTTGGTGTTTCGAGTATCCATGGGCGGCGCCGATTGCTTACCATCAGGTGATCCGACTGCACGTTTACCGGCTTATGCTAAAAAAAACGGCCGAATTAGCAGCAGCTTTCGACGTCAGCGTCAAAACACTTTGGTCCATTTGCGTCAAAATGGCAAGGTAAAAAAGCTTGACAAACGGATGCCCCTCGAACTCAATGACCGCCAGCGCGAAGTACGTGTCGACGTCGAGATGTGCCTTGCACTGCTTAACACACATACAAATAAAGGAATTTTGAACCAAATTGTTACTTGGGATGAAAAATTGATTCTGTTTGATAACCGCAAGTGCTCAGGAAATTGGTTGTATCTTGCTGCAGTACCTAACTATGCCCTAAACGAAAATTTACCCATAGAAAAGTGATGCCATAGCAGACGGTCTCCAAGTTGCAAAAGCTAATGTTGGAAAAAATTCAGTACCTGAAAGGCAGTAAATACAAACTACCTTTGAAGAATTTGATGCCTCCCGTCCAGATGATTTCTTAAAAAGAGCATCAATAAACTGCCACTGCGTTGACAAAGATGTATTGATTGCATGCGAGATTACTTCGATTAATACAAATAAAAAATAATATACAAAACGGCAAATTCATAGGTTTTTTTTTTAAGGGGTGATAATCATCGAATGACTGCTTCTGCCTGGCTTGGGTGAGCCGGGAGGGAGTGTCAGACTCTTACTGACTAAAAACCACCCCCTTCCTACTCCTGCCCTTCGAGGCGGAGTCCCGGCAACCCGTCAACTTCTCCGCGGCTCCGTGTCGGCATCAGCCCTATTGGACCCCATCCGTGGTGGTCTGATAGCTCTTTGAGGCGCGCGCTTGGGTCTGGTTCTGGTTGGGCACCGAGCCACCCATGCTCGTCGTCCGCAGGCCCGCGCTTACGGTGGCAGGAGTTCGTCCCGCGATCCTGACGCCCGGAGTGTCCTTCGCGATGGTTGGGTTGTGAGGAGGCAGCGCTTCGCTCCCTCACGCGCCCCGTCTCCTCCTTAGCTAGCATGACTGCTTCGCAAAAGGAGGAGACGGCATCCCAGTCCCCCTCGCTCCGCATCGTGACTCACACTAGGGCCGGACGCGAGAGGTCGCCATCCCGATCACGTCCCTAAGGGCACGGCGGTGCTCAGTCAACGAAGGGTATTCCCCTACTGTGTGTTCCACCGTGTCCTCAGGGCGGTCCTCGCAGTGATGACACACGGGCGTTTCCTCCCGCCCCATCAGGGTGCTTACTCTTGAAACCAATCTCAATGTCTATGCAATTTCAATCCAATAAAATCTCAATAATTATCCAATGTCATAACTATACAACCTCTATCGTAGCTGCTAAAGTAGCATTTAGTGTACGGAATATAAAACCAAACTCAATACCATTTAGCTCATTCAATATCACGAGTACGAATACAACTCAAGAGAACGAAATTTCACAATGTCAATGTCAATCGATCGGAATTGGATTCAAGAGTAAGCACCCAGACACGGGTACCTCCCGAAACTTCCATGTCCGCTGAGGACCTGCGTCAGGCGGTAGGTGAGGACGCCGTAGCGTCTCTCAAGCCACTCCTCAAAGAGGGGGTTCAAAGACCCATTAGACCACCAAAGATAGGGCCCAGTAGAGCTGATACCTGAAATGGACCCTTGGAAAAATTATCAGATACCAGGGCTCCGACTCGAAGAGCAGGAGTAGGAATGAGGTTTTAGTCAGTAAGAATATGACACTCCCTCTCGCCTCACCCTCGGCGGGAGATTATAGAGGTCTTGGTGCCCCCCATAGGCGATGATGGTGGCCACCGGAGTGATTTTAGTGAGGGAGGAATCCCATATTACGTAGTAAAAAGCTAAGCGCCTTTTGAATGTTTCCCCCTGTGATCAAAAAAAATAAAGGCGGGAGGAGTCATTGGATAATTTTCCCCTCTTAAAAAAAGCAGGAAGAGCAGGCTTGGTGACAAATTCTAGGTACTTTGCCGTCACCACACTGCTTGTAACTTTGCTGATCACCTGTGGCCGTAGGGCTCATACACAAAACTGCGATGCGATGCGAATTTGCAACGCAAAAAATTATGATGCGAATTGCTGCGATGCGATTTCGTGCGACAAGGCTGCTTGACCATTCCCAGGGTGACCATTTCTTAGACGACCGTCAACTGTACTAAACGTATTTTAAATCGAAAACTAGTCGTGACATGGATCGTAAAAAGAAGTGTGATCAGAGCGCCGGCGCCAAACGTGTTCGTTTTGATTATTTTAAACGTAAAACAAACTCGTACTAAGCTCTCCGGTGCCATTTGGATGTCGATACAGAGACGCTCTATTCTATATAAACCCGTAAATAATTATTCATTTTGAATTGAATGAAAATGATTTTTTTTGAAAACACCAACCCAACCCACATTACCACCAACTGTAGAACGAGAATTTAAGACATTTCTGATTAGGAGAAAGCCGATCCTGGTAGTCCTTAAAAATATTATTATTGTTCATTGTTAGTTACGCAATTTTTTTTTATTTTTACTATTACGGCATATGAATACTTAATACATTACATTATTTTTTGTGCAATTAGCAGCATCATTCAATAGAATGTACGTACTAACTAGGTAGTAGTCTTTTCATTAACTACAGAGTTTGTGTTGTTTTAAGTTAATTAACTCATTGAGTACCGTCATTATAGACACAATTATAGAACAATAGGTTGCAGTCACCTGTGACCGATTGGTGTTTGACAGTTTTATAATAATTACAGACTTAAAGCCCTTTAGCACTCTAGAAAAAGTGCAATGGCCAATTCAATTTAAATAATATTTATCTAACTTAACCACTATTACTCATTCTCAGGACACCACAGAGGTAACTGAATCTGTAAGATTTCATATCTTTATATATGTAATTCTTCTGTGAGTGTGTATGTCACTGAACTTCTCTCAAACGACTGGACCGATTTTGATGAAATTTTTTGTGTGTGTTCAAGGGGATCTGGGAATGGTTCAGATTCACAAACCAGCCCGGCAGATGGTTAGTTATCCTAAACGGCTGAACTTATTTGAATGAATTTTTGTTTATACATTCAAGTGGATATACAGGACCACTTCTGTTGGGTCCGCTAGTCTCCTATAATATCATGGTTGCCTACAAGTTCTTCATTTCAAAATCAATCTAAAACCAATTGCCATTATATGGGATCACATTCCATAGACTTCTAAACATCATGCACAATACCTAATAATATTTGTTATAAAATCCTTCCTTAAAGTTGACACTAATATCACTACTATCTTTTTCTTTAGATTATACCAATAATTTTAGACTGAATTGCATTCCTTACTATTGAAAACTAACCCATTACGAATATAACAATATATTATTATAAAAGGTTTTTTTTTCACATTGGAACAGTTAAAGACATTGTTGTTAATTAGACATGTAAGTGTTAAGTCACCTATAAATAAATGAAATAAAATAAAAATAATATAAGTTCAATAAAGTATGAATAAACAAATTGTATGACTGACCTGGACTATAAAGTTCAGCTAGTTCTTGAGCTCCACGGTGCCGGGGACCCCAGCGAGGCTGTCTATCTACCAAACTTGGTAACTGCGTATTAGCATTAGGGTCATCTTCAGACATAGAATGCTCAAGAATTTGTCTTTCAGTCTTAACTGGCGCCAGCAAAGTTGTAGCCATAGTACTAGCATAATCGAAATGTTCACAACTTAAGCCACTAAGACCATCCCTTTTAGCACACGGAGGTATGGGTAACGGCAAAGCCATACTTTGGTTGCCAATGACAATAGGGAACTGAAACAATCCAAATGGTTTAAAAAATATTTTTTCCTTTACCTAATTAATGCTTTGCCAACCTGAATACAAGTAGTATTGAAGGCAAAAATACAGTTTTATGCTGAAAATAATAAATGTAACACATTTCACGAATATTTTAAATTAAATCCTTACAGAATCACTTCATTAATGTAATGAAAAAACAGAACAATGATGATTGTACTTCTCGGTCCAATCTAAATAACTAATGAATGAAGTAATGAACATTTCAACAATGAAGAAATGTCATTGCACGTACCTATCTATGCTGTCAAAGCTAAGTCGTGTCAAATGTCAATTTATAAGTTGCACGAATTTTCTTCTTATTTCATATTAATATAAAAAAAGATTTAAACATTAAAGTAAATAATTTCTTTTATCACCCTGCACCGAAAGAAACATTTTTTTTATATGATTAGTATAAACACATACGATTAAATAATAAATTTGATTTAGCTCATGAGGTTGTCGACTTGTTGGATGTGGATGCAGCAGTCATTGTGCCGATAGTCCGATAGTCGTATCTGCCAATGGCCTCATTGCTAAAAGCCTCGACCACCACCTGAGTTGTCTAGCGTTCTATGGTTGGGTCAAGGGTCTGATGCAGAAAGCAGTACTTCTGGACACGGCGCGTATTGTCCGGAAATTCCCCTCTCTGGAGCCCTGCGGCCCTACCCTGACCATCGGTAGCTTGGATTTCCCCGTTACAGGTGGGCTACTGATATTTAAATTTTAAATGTTATTTTTTATAATCAAATACCTATTTAAAAATGTATAAATTATCCTAATCAAATTTAAATTAAATACTTAAATATGTTTATACTACTTAAAATATAACTATCTAAAAACTAAAATACTTACACCTTAAAAAAATAGTAAAAATGCTATCTTAGCCATCAAAAAAAATTTTCCTCATCGCTATCGTGAGGTAGGTGCCCAAAAGACTGGCAGCATTGCCACGTTGAATGGCAATGCTTAACCTTTTCCCAAGGTAGCAGCCAACCATCCTCCTTACAATATCTTTGTAAAGAAGATGTGCACTTGGGCCCCACGGCCCTAAAGTTTCAACCCCAAACGGTTCGAAAGCATAATTGCTAATCAGGTTATGTACTTTCGCCGTTTGAGGATCTCGACAGCAGCAGCGGCAGCACCGGCTCGACACGCTAAGCTTGGAAGGTGGGATGGCGGCAGAGTATTAACGCAAGTGGCGTCCCATACTAAAGGCCTACCCATCTTCCAAGGGAGGGAATAATGACATACCATCAAGTCTCTTGCCATCGTCGCGTACCAAGCCATTAGGTTCTAAAGTAGCGGCTAAACGACAAGCCGTGGTGTCCAAGGCTGTTGACATCTTCACCACAACGACAACGATGAGGTGAACAAAATGAAGCTCCGACTCTTAGACAAATATCAATTTGAATAAAAGGCTCTTTCTCAGAATGCATACCTATATTTTTTACAAGCGGTTGAATAAAAAAAATATACAGCCGAATTGATAAACTCCGCCTTTTTGGGAAATCGGTTAAAAAGTGAACATTTGCTAGAAATATACGTTATCCATCAAACCGTGTGTGTGATGATGAATGTCCTTGGATGCACCCTTGTATTGTATACCTGACTTGCCATAAATACAAAGTGTATTTATTCACTAGGATAGGTAGTGTATTACACTACTTACCTGATGTCGATTATTCGATTCGATTACTTAGTCGATGTCGTGCGGTGCATGACGCTAGCTTTAGAAAGGTACCTTAAGTAAATGCTCCAGAGTAGTCTGCGATATTTAAATTTTCTTAAGTGTTTTGCAATTTACAGCTCAATACTATGATGATAAAATATATATGTACCTATGCTATGTATGTATTTACGCTACAATATCTGTTAAATCTCTCTACATAGCTTCGCAATTTAGTGAAGTTCTACAATGTACAAATGTACCTACCATTTTAGTAAAAGTCTTGACATTGTAAAGGGTCTTTCAACAAGGACGGATCGATGTTAAAATTGAATAAAACAAGATATGTGCAAGATATTAAACAAATTTATTTTTTATTTGAAAGGTCCATTTATGCCATTATGGATGGAATATGACATCGTTTAATTGTCCACCACGGCTTCGTATGGTGGCACGAATCTGAGAGGTCCAATTTTTCATGACTCTGCTGCATAGATCCGACTGAATCTGAGCGATGACCTGCGTTATGTTGGCTTTCAGGGCAACGGTGGAATGTGGTTTATTGGCATAGACTTGCGACTTCCGAAAACCCCACAAGAAAAAGTCTAGCGGAGTCAAATCACACGATCTTGGTGGCCAATTCACGTCATCTCTGCGAGAGATAACCCTCATGCAGAATGTCGATTGTGTCGTTCGCTGTGTGGCAAGTAGCGCAATCTTGCTGTAACCACATGTTGTTCACGTCCATATTGTTAAATTTAAGCCAAAAAAAAAAAGTTTATCATTGATCTGTAGCGCTCACCTAGGACTTTGAAGGACCACCGCGTCTGCCGTAAAATGGGCGCAATGCTCGCAACGTTTGCAATAAAGTTAATAATAAAATTTTATAATAAAGTTTTATCATTTGCACATGCTGCTCAACCGTGTAACTTGCCATGGTGATTTGGCATCAGCAGCTGAATGCTTATACTTACTATACTCTTTGAGCTGAATGAAAAATCAGATTTGACAGATGCCGCCAAAATAAAATGGCCATCACAGATTATTAACATCGACCCGTTCTATTTGAAAGACCCTTTATAACTTTATTTTCTATGGTAAATCCTGAACCCTGTGTAGCTCTAACCATAGTAAATATTGTGTGATACCGATTGGCGATTCGGATTACCACTTCTGGCGCACTAAGACACACGGTTCGTTTCGTCGTCGTCGACATACTGGGTATTTATCATACATATTTTTAATAATAAGTATATCAGTGGTATTTATCCATATTTTTAAACACTCGAGTAAAAAGGATAAATAAGTACCTACTCAGTAAAATATTGTGATATGTATTAGGTACGTAAGCCTTCTTTTGAAATAAATAGGTACTTTTGTTTACAATATTAATTACTTACCTACTCGGTATTTACTTATGCGTTTTCAGTATTTATCCGAAAAACTGCCCATATAGGTACATTAGTTTGTAAGCAATACATTTCCGACAATACATACTACACATATGTAGGTCCTCTAAGACATAGGTACACACATAAGTAGTGCGTCTCTAACCCAACTACGTGAATGAATATGTACCTACCTATATGAAACCAATCTCAGACTACACCACGATAATGTACTTCTGCCTATCTACTTTACGAACTCGAATAATAAATAAATAAATAAATTTTATTTATTTTTATTTAAATTTTATTTATTTTTCCATCATAATAATATGATGATATGTATACTTTATTTACTGGATTATCTGTGTCTATAGGTAGGTAGTATAGCGGTGTACCAACATTCGGATGGCAACATACTTCGCTTCTTCAGTTTCTATTTCAAAGCTAAAAATATATGTGCGCATGCGCAATATCTCACACTATTCATAATACGGGACAATAATGTAAGGAAGCAATATTTTTATTAACAATCGATTTCTTGGAAATTTTTAGCAGTTCATTGAATAAAATTAAATACAAACTTAATAGACACTTGTGAAGTCTCGCGTAATCAGTGCAGCCTCAACTAAGCGCTGATTTTTAGAGGTAAGTAACTACAAAGGACCTTCCTAATTACATATTTAAAATAGGTACATTTCAGTGCATAACTTTTTTGTAGATAAATAGGTAATTAAGTACCTAACCTAGTACTTAAATAGGTCTGCGTACATTTTAATAAGAATATTAAGCTACTTGCCAATAAGGCTGGGTAGGTAGGTACCTACCTAGCCTTCCTAAGTAGTGCACGGTTTATACTAATAGTACCGTCCTATACCTGTTCTTATTAGTTGACATATATTATAGTCGTGTACAGAACGGAATTATAAAAGTCACAGAATAGTCTAGGTACAAAAGTGTTGCCAACGTGTAAATACACTTGTAAAAAAACTGCTCCAGGATAATCGCCTACAAGAAATAATTAGGTATAAGACCGCCATAAGTATTATGCGTTAAGAACCGAAAACAAGTTTGTTTACCTACTATTAATTAGTTCTTTTGCTAATTGCGAGCTTCGATATCGAATTGTATTACAAAATCCAGGAGTAGCAAAGGGGCGGTATTTAGTCAGTAATTGAGTCACTCTCTTTGCCTCACCCAAGCCAAGGCGGAAGAAGACATTGGATGATTATCCCCCCCCCCTCCCCAATGAATTGATGTACCTACCTACCTAATAAGTACCTATCTAATTACCTTATAGATACTTACATACCTATACAAACTGTCCCTAAATTCGACGTTCAATTGGCATCAGGAGATCGGCAAGGTTCCATTTCAATAGATAGGTTTAGCAAAAATATAAAAAATTCTCCGCGTGGGAAGAGGCGTTTGCTAAGCAGCGCATTTATGGGCTGTTAGGCTATTCTATAAGATGTCAATTCGAACTCTCGAAGTGAGATCGACCGCGATCGAGAGTCCGATTTGACATCTTACAGAATAGCCTAGCTGATAGTAGGTAAATAATAATACCTTTCTGCCCACCACTTAGCTATAAGTAGGCACCTAGGTATATTATAAGTTACTTTTAATTTGTTTTTTTTTATTCAGGTGAATATGTCACGATACAAGCAGCCTAAGAAGTTGGAGACGCTAGCATTAAGCGGTCTGGGGGATTGGATAGCACAACAAGCTGAACAACAGATGATACCAATTATAATGCTTTCGCAACGTGACACCAACGAAGCTCAATCAGCTCTGACACGTAATATTGATAAAATTCGAGAATATTTAGATATTAACGTTCCTTGGATGCTTCACGACTTATTGGTAAATCAAACTATTAGAGCACTATCAGAACTGCTTGAAAAGACCAAGCAATCTTTGGGATTTAGACGCAACATGGGGAAATTCGTCAGTCAAATGAATGTAATTATAAGAATGGCTGAAGTGCTTTTTACAAAAAATTTAACGATCGTGTCAATTGATACTATTCCAAAGATGTTGCGTTCAGTATTTTACTCTAAATTATATATGCTTAACGGACTAGTCTCCCTAAACTTAGGATCATTATCCGGAGGTTGGAAAACGGCAGACATGGAAGATGCCATTATTAAATCATTAAAAGAGCTACATCGCTTAAAATGTTTAACTATGAATTATGATTGTACAAATAATATACTACAATGCATCGTAGATAATTGCCATCTTCTAGAAAAATTAGACGTCTCTTGTTCAAAATGTATTACAAACGACAGTATGGATATTGTTGCGAAAATAAAAAAAATAAGAAGCATCCAGCTATACAGAACTTTTGTGACTATGGAAGGATTTATAAAGTTGCTTTTGAAGTGCAAAAACATCGAAGATATAGGTAGATGTGACGACATAGGCAAGATTTTAGAGCACATTGATCTTAATTATTCAGATGGCATAACATTTCATTTAAAGACTTATGTTAGTCGCTATGCAACAAATAATCAATTACAGTTAGCTGTTCAAATGTGTCCCTATATAAGAAGCATGACTGTTTTTCACAACACTTTACAAAGTGATCTAATGGTTTTAATAGGTTTACAAGACCTCAGAGAGCTTAAGTTGTTGTCATGCGACTTTTATGCAGATCAAATAAAGCAAGTTCTTCAAGTTAAAGGTTGTAATCTTGTACATCTACACTTAGAACACGTCGATCAAATTGATTTAAATGCTCTTATGTATATAAGTCAAATGTGTCCTTTTTTAGAAAGTCTAACTTTATATAATTGTACACTTATACAGCATACGTCCTTATTTACAAAAAAATTAGAAATTGAACCTTTTCGTAATCTTAAAAAAATTACTTTCGTGTCCACGTGTACAGAAGAACAATTACTATTCATTCTCACTAATTGCTTGAATGTACAATTCATTCACATAGGGACGGCAATACAACTTACCGACGACGTAATGTTTAAAATATTAGACAAAAATCCACTGATTTATTTAAAAGAATTACGTATAATGCAATCTGACTACTTATCAATGATATCTGTAGACAGAATTATTCAAAGTTGTATGAGTTTGGAAATATTGGTAGAGTTAGAGAGTTGGTCTCTTTTGACTGAAAATGATCGTGAACATATCAGAAACTATATCAAGATAAACAATTATAATATAGACACGGCTCCAATCAGAAGATATGACGCTTAAAACCTATATTAATGTACTGCACATTACACACGAACTTGCTGTAATAGTTTTCTTAAATGTAGGTACCACGTGAAAACTACTTCGTTTTTGATGTAAAAAATATTCTGTGTTGGTAATACAATAGTTTTACAAAGAAATAAATAAATTAAAACCTAAAATAACTGCTAACCATTGCAAAACCAAAGTTCGAAAGCGTGTACGTATTCATATTACATTATCAAAACATAACGCCATGTAATTCTCGAAGAGGTATTTCTCGCCGAGTGGGAATTTTTTTTTCCCGATTTTCATCATAGACGAGCAAAAGCTAGTAGATAGATATTTTACAAAATGATGTAATTGCCTTCCATTCGAAATCAAAGAACGATCACGAACCTGCCTATAACATCGATCTGACGACACGTAACTATAACGTTTTCCACGTCACGGCAACGTCTGAGGTGTTAGCACACGATTGACACGATGAATGCCGTCACCGCGCCGCTGTCTGACCATGGCCTGGCATGAGCCTGTGCTGCTGGGTGCGAGAGATTGTTGCCGCTGATCGCTTCCCTGAGGATAGGATTGACTGCACGGTTGGTGAGGGGTCTGAGCAACTGGCTGCCGCGCAATGTGGCACGGGTTCGATTCCCGCACAGTACAACCCTTTGTGGTTCGCGGATTGTTAAACTCGTGTTTTTAAACGCACCAACGACACAGGAGAAAATCCTAATGTGGGTAAAAGTTCAAAAAAAAAAGAGAAAGATACAGTGGTGCTCAGCCCAAGTAGAGCACACCTCGACAGTATGTTCCGGCTTGTCACACTGGGGAGTTTTTTGCAACAGGTACCGTCCGTAAAGCGTGAAAGGCAAGGACGCCGTGGCATCTCACTAGCCAGTCCTCAAAGAGTGGTCTTACCGCTGCTATAACGTGACTCTGTTGCAACAGTCTTCACTGACTGAGATTAGATTGTAGCGGGCTCAGCGCGACTCGTAATCTACAGTATAACTGGACGACAACGGCAGTGCGGTGACGGCTTCATATGCAGGAAAGCTAGCGGGGTACATTACCATACTGTTGGGTTTCAGTTAGTGTGCAGTAAGGAGTTTCATCCAAATAATACAAAATAGCTGTTACAATCAAAATCACATAAGAATCACACCTGAACCTAAAACACACGTCAAAAGTTTTTCCATACAGAAAACCCCAACATGTTACGCAGCAACCAGTTGGCAGTTGGCACTGTCTCAACCAAGTAGTACATGAATTGCAAAATGTATGTAATTAGATGTATGTATTGTACTTATTTAATAATAATGTATAAAAGGAATGTTAGACATTAGCATGTTTATTAAAGCTTCATTATGAAATAATTACATTATTTTTTGTATCAATTACTATGATCCATTTATTTTTCTATTTCCTTATTATTAGGTACTAATGCAAACATATATACCGGATATATTCCGTTTGGAAAGTTAGCTTGTTTACATTGCTTAATTCTTTTCAAATTACATTTCTTAAATATTTTAATATATTGTTTAAAAGATCTTGTAACTGATGAATCAGTAGAATCTTTTTCAACTTTCCCAGAAGAAGTAACATTTTCCTTTACAACTATTATCCCATTAGCGGAAAGCGAATCTCTGAAAAAAAAAATGATTTTAATATATTATTTTGCAATCTCAAATATTTTAGTAATCACCGCATACAGATTTAAAAATGTTATACACCTGCATCGTTTGAGATAAGCTTCTAAATCCTCATCAGTGAGATACCCTAGTACCCACTGATTCCAAATAACATCATATTTTCTGACAGGCACAAACTCTTGTAAACCGACTTTGTACAGTGTGCCCAGTTTTGATGCAACTTCACCCACATATTCTTTAATAGAATTAATAAATTTTTCATCTGGTTCAACCACATCAACTGATTCAAAATGTGGTATTAATAAATATTTTGTTATTCTACCAATTCCAGCACCACAGTCTAGTGCAACATTATTTGAAGGAGCATTCTCTGAGGAAAGTAAAGACTTCAGGAAAAGCTCAGATCCTTCTATATCCGCATTTGAAATAAATCCAAATCCCCCGAGTACTCCATCGACCGTAGGCGGTATATCTGCCCAATATTGTAAAGATTTTTTGTAATTTATACTGAAGACTTCATTGTTATCATTCATACTAAAAGACTGAAACAATTATTAAGAAAATGTAAGTTTTAGAATAAAAAGACAATCGTTAATAGCATTCATTTCATAAGACAAGAGCAAGGTACAATATTCACCTAGATAGTTTTCATCCAAAATTGACCAAGATAATACTACGTTTAGGAGCCACGCCACGCCGGTCTCTATATTTATATTTCAAGGTATTAAAATAACAGGTCAGCAAAAAAAAAATATTTTGAACGTAAAATTAAAATACTATATCAACGAAAGCAATCACGAATAGCTTTTTTTCGATATTATATAGCTTTATTTCGAGAAATGGTACGATTCTAAAAGACAGAAGCAAACACCACAGTATACTTATGTATAATATTAACCAATATACTCTTTGACAGGTATATATACCTATTTTTGTTCGTTACTTTACGTTGACGTTGACAGTTGAAAGCAATGACATCTTGACAATTTTACATTCTCTTTGTACTTAGTAGATACATGACAGTCTATAGGTTAGATTTAACGTGGTGTTTCGCTTTACGCAGTAAGAAATAATATGTCGAATAACTTCATTAAATGAATGGTTGCTGATGAAATAAAATAAAACTTCCTGAAAAAAATTAAATCTATTAATAGGCAAAGTCAAAGCGAAGTATAGATTTACTGTGTGGACATTTCTGAACTTTCTGACGTGACAATGACATTTAATAATTTTAAAACTTGCAACACCAACACTAACTCGGTCTGATTCTTTTCTTTACGTCTAAAACGCGAATCGAGACGTTTTCAAAATGGTTAGTGCAAATTTTTCTCATCTTTTATATTATGATCCATCACGATTGTGTTAAAAGTTATAGTTATGAAATCTGCTTCTATGTGTTTCGTTTAATCCCATCAATAATTTATTTTGTGTTCACATGCGGCCGAAAGTTAAAATGAAACCGGTCCATACACATGAAATATTTTTTGATCTGTAATGTTTTGGTATTTATTATTACGATTGTGTTCTTATTGTCTCAAGCTCAGCAAGAAAATGTAGTGCCCTCTCATTTATCATAGTGAAAAAATCAAGTGAAGTGATGCGACCAATCTAACCATTGATATTGTTTACTTTGCAGGGTAAGGTTAAGTGCTCCGAGTTACGCACGAAAGACAAAAAGGAGCTGTTCAAGCAGCTCGAGGAGTTGAAAACAGAGCTGACAAATTTGCGTGTCGCCAAAGTAACTGGTGGAGTTGCGTCGAAACTATCCAAAATGTAAGATGTTTTATTTACTACACATTGTTTTAGAAAATTATTCAGTGTTTAATAGTTTGCCTGCTTCCACTAATTATCTGTAAAGCTGTTTCTGTAAAGTATAGTGGCTTTAGGTTCAGATTTTGAACTTTGTTCAATAGGATGATATTTAATTTAATTGTTACTATTGTTATGTATCTGTCGTGTAATGAACTTAAAAAGGACTACATTTTTTATGCATACTTTTCTGTTTAATAATTTGTACATTTCTCAACTCTTTTTCTCTTTTCCCAACTCTTCTAATGATAAGTATCATCAGATCTTTGTGTAAAAGTGGTAGAACCTTTAGGACACTACATTTTTCAAGTTATATTGTTATAATTTAGTATCTTTAACATAATATTATGGTAAGATACACTTATGTTCCACTCTCAATAACTGGTGTCAACCTATCACTCACTTTTTTTCGTGTCCCTTCGTCCAGCATACTCACCATGGAATCCTGATATTTCATGAATGTCAAAAAACTGTTCTGAAATAGTGCTAAATAGTGCCCAAAGGAAAAAAATAGTGCTCTTGTACTTGCGAAGTTATAGCCATAGTTCGATGAGTATGCTGGACGAAGGTTTCGCCCAGCATACTCACCTCCGTCCGGAGAATCTGTATACGCTTCAAACATAATTCATACTTCAAAAAATAGTTCCCAAATAGTGCCAAACGGTGCCCAAAAAGAAAAAACAGTGCTCGAATAACTTCGGAGTTATAGGCTTCGTTCAGTGAGTATGCTGGGCGTAGGTGCTACGCCCAGCATACTCACCTCAGTGCGCGATTATCGAACGAGCTATAGGTACAATTTACGTCTCAAAAAATTGTGCTTGAAATAGTGCCCAATATCAGTCCAATTTTTGCTTGACTTTTGACTTAGAAAACCATTAAATTTTAATGTAAACTTCTACATACTAACGTAAAATGGGGTACAGTCGTCGACACATGTTTTTGGACAAAAATATTAAACTTTCTAATTGTAGACTTCATGTTATTGGAAATAATTATGGTATTTTCTCACATGTCAAAAACTTTCGATTAAATGCATTATTATATATTTTATGGTTTTTATGGTTATATATTTTATGGTATGACCGTACGTGCATCCATTACTGCCACACTATATTGAACTTTATCACATGAGGAATACAGGTCAATTCCGTAAACGTTGTGGTACCGTCCTTGATCCGAAGAATGATTATTTTGAATAATTTTGTCAGTTGTAATGTAAGCTTTAATAACAGCAACTTTATTTTTCATGCATGATTTACTTCATTTGATATCTTAATCCTTCAAGCGCCGTGATCTAGACAAAATATATAAAATCATTGTTCCTAGCTACCGGGGTCCCATGCGACGCGCGAAGGCTTAATCATATTATTATAAAGTATTATTAAAATAATGTGTAATTAATAATATTGCGATTCTAAAGTAAATACTCCCTTACATAGACAATTAATAATTTACACAAGACAAAAATTGTTAGAAAGAAAGTTAATAATATTGTATTCGACTGTACTCAATGTAATGTATGTAGAAGTTTACAATCAAATTTAATGGTTTTCTAGGTCAAAAGTCAAGCAAAAATTGGACTGATATTGGGCACTATTTCAAGCACAATTTTTTGAGACGTAAATTGTACCTATAGCTCGTTCGATATTCGCGCACTGAGGTGAGTATGCTGGGCGTAGAACCTACGCCCAGCATACTCACTGAACGAAGCCTATAACTCCGAAGTTATTCGAGCACTGTTTTTTCTTTTTGGGCACCGTTTGGCACTATTTGGGAACTATTTTTTGAAGTATGAATTATGTTTGAAGCGTATACAGATTCTCCGGACGGAGGTGAGTATGCTGGGCGAAACCTTCGTCCAGCATACTCATCGAACTATGGCTATAACTTCGCAAGTACAAGAGCACTATTTTTTTCCTTTGGGCACTATTTAGCACTATTTCAGAACAGTTTTTTGACATTCATGAAATATCAGGATTCCATGGTGAGTATGCTGGACGAAGGGACACCTTTTTTTCTCTTTCACACCAGTTTTCACTCTGTATCCATCTTTTGTTTCATAGACCTCTTCTTTCTCATTATTCTACATTTAAATGAAAGAATAATTTTATAAATCCAACGTGTTATTGATGTTATGTTTATATTAATGTGGGTAGCACTGTTATTTGGTATTTAATTTTAACACTAAGTAATGATATACTTGGTATTGTTTTAGACGGGTGGTGAGGAAGGCGATTGCCCGCGTTTACATTGTGTACCACCAGAAAATGAAGGTGAACCTCCGGAATCACTATAAAAACAAGAAGTACAAGCCTTTAGACTTGAGGACCAAGAAGACTCGTGCTATGCGCAAGGCCCTTACAAAGCACGAAGCTAAAATTAAGACCAGGAAAGAAATCAGAAAGAAATCTCTTTTCCCTCCTCGTGTTTATGCTGTTAAGGCTTAAATAAAAAATTTAGTATAAAGTTGCGTAAAATTTTTTTATTGAAACTGATCCTTCGTAAGATTTTTGGTTCATTTGTAGAGGTTTTGTCTGTAAATTTAAAATTTAATTTAATTTTCATTCCATCACAACGTCTTTAAATGGATATAATTCAATTTTCACCCACTCGATGCTTGTTTATTGTAACATGTTTTATAGCCTATACCTTTCCTCGATAAATAAGCCAGCCAACTCAAAGAATCTTCCAATTGAACCAGTACTTCTGAGATTGGTGCATTCAAAGAAATCTTTAGCTTTACGTAATAGTATAAGATTGAGAAACATATGTGATAAGTCCACATTATTCTGACTACTAGTTTAATCCGCTCAGCCCGGCTCCTAATGATTGTAGATATTTATTTCATAGCCTTCCATGATATATGGGCAAACCACACTAAAACCGTTATGCAAATTAGCAGTTTTTAAACTGTTCAAGCTTTATACAGGTTGTTTGGCGCATGGACCGACGTAATTTTTTCAGGAATTTCGAAGGTTATTAGCTACATTTTACCCACAAACCCTTCTCCCAAGTATCACAGTTGGTTGCATATTTTTACTGAATTCTAAAGATTTCCTAAAATGTTTTCTTTTAAATTACCTCAATATGACTTCATTGTTTGTAGGTCTAGTGGTCCAAATTACATTTTATTGTATACACCAAGTACCTAAACTCGTCAAAACAAAATAGGGCCCACCATCGATAATTTCGTATATTTGTCTTGAAATGACTCGAAAGCTGTTTATTACTAAAATAAAGCATTTGATTACGTAGGAAGTTAACATGTTCATATTAATAATTACTATGTTTCAGACAAAAGCTTTATCATCAACAGCTTATAAATGCCCACTGTTGAGCAAAGGTCCTTCTCACACGGAGAAGGTTAACACTAGACTTTGATCAAGAGATCTATATCCAGTCCACAGAACATAATATATACCCTAAGGGGCTATATCACTCTTTTAGCTCTTTAGCTCACCGAATAACAAGTCTTCAGCTCTTCAGCTCTCTCATTCGCGAGCTACCCATGTTTAGTTGACACCACACTTGCCTAATGCAAGTTGGTGATTTCTAACTTATAATTAGAAATTGTAAGCTTAGGTTTCCTCACGATGTTTTTCTTCACTGTGACGTAACGTTTAGAGCAGGCGAAGGCTATAGCCGGCGCATCCCCTATACTTATTATACTCTTTGGCCGGCGCGTCCTATTTGTATAGTCAAAGACTACATACCTGTGACGTAACGTTTGGAGCAGGCAAAGGCTATGGCCGGTGCTGTCTTATTTAAATACGTTGTCTTTTTTACCGGCGACAGTACATACGGCTAAAGTCTTTCATACAAAAATCTTGTGTCAAGATAGGGTTACCAAATCAAGCAAAGTGTCCGCGAACGTGTTAAACAAATATAAGCAAATTCAAAACAACGTATGCAATCGGCGTCGCCCATGGACACCTGGAACACCAGAGGCGTTACAAGTGTGTTACCGGCCTTTTGGGGATTATGAGTTTGAGGATCGTTGGGGATTCAGGGATTGGGGAAGGGGAGGGTAATTGGGCCTCCGGTAACCTCACTCACACTATCTTCTATTAAGGGCTGCCACCTATATCAGTTCTTCTCATTCGTGCATGAACGGCTGGAGAGGACATGGTTGGAGGTGTATCACTGTGTTGCTCAATTTCTTACTGGCCACGGCAACTTTAAAAGCAAATTGTTCTCAATTAAACTTGTTGATTCACCATGGTGCCAATGTTCGATAGCGGAGTTGCAATACGAGCAGTCCGCCCATCACATACTCTGGGAGCGTGATCGCTGGCAATATGAACGCAGTGCCGTAACTAGCCTTTTATGCGCCCGGTGCGAGCTTTCAAAACTGCGCCCTTGAAAAATGTCCTTACCAGGCTCTGACAATAAAATGGACAAATGTGCATGAAAATACAACTGTTTATTGTTTACCAAGATATAGGTCGGTACTTAGTGGATTTTTAATGATAATTTGTTAAAAATTTTAAGTAAAGAAAAAATGATAAATAATAGTATAAAAATATTTGAAAAATATTTGATTTTCGAAATGTTTTTGAATAATTTAAGCGCACTCGGACCCCACGGACCTAGCGTCTCAACCCCAAACGGCTCAAACATATAACTACCAGCAAGGTTGTTATACTTGCGCCGCTTGAGGTTTTCTGCAGAGGCAGTAGCCGAACCAGCACAACCCGCCGTTACTGGAAGATGAGAAGGTGCAAGGGTGTCGACATAGGTTGCGTCCTACACCAAAGACCTTCCCAGCTTCCAGGGCGTAATGGACATATCGTCGGATCTCTTACCATCGTCGTGTACCAAACTCTTGATTCCAGAACAGCTGGCACACCGGCGATGACAAGAGCTCGACGGATGATGTCGTTAATGCTGACGTGTCGGGCTATCCGGCCCGCGCTTCTGCTACATTTTTTTTTTTAAGGGGGAAAATCATCGAATGACTGCTCCCGCCTGGGTGAGGCGGGAGGGAGTGTCAGACTCACTAAACAAGTGAGTGACCGTATGGACTCTGACCTAGTTTTTTGTGCTTCTGCAGACGATCTAAAATAATTGGTAGTATAGTAACATGTAATATTATCTAGTTTATATATGAATATAGCTTACGATATTTATTTAATTTTATATTAATGTATTATGTAGGTACAACTTTTTATTCTCCTTCAGGGAATAAAAATCGTAATATTATATGTATGTATGTAGTGTAGTATATTAAAAAATCCAACCTTACTTCTACAAATTGTGTTAAATATTTTAAATATACTATTAATAAGTTATCTTACATTAACATATTTTAGAGCTACTATCGCCTGTGACACAGGAATATTCCTAGTATAGGCATAATATTTTTAAGATCTTGTCGCTTAATTAAGATATATTTTTGTACCTATGTTGACCAGTGTTATTATGAATAAAAATTTTATTATTTTATTATTATTTATGGAAAAACTGGCTACATGTCAATATTTGTCTATTTGTGGAGCAGTATGCCTTCAGGTAAAAGAAAGAGACGCCATTATTTTGTTGATATACTTGACAAAACAAGGACAAAGAAAGATGGATATCATATACGTATAAATAGGAATTAATGTTTGGTCTGCTTATTGTAAGTCTATGTATACATGCCTGGTAACGTGGTAACACATTACACACACAAAACATAAATTATTCACGGAAATTTAACTCAAACTTATGTATACATATACAAACATAAGTGAATGTATGTACAATTGTACATACTTACAAAGCGACTTTATCAGCGAGGGCTGCTATCCCCTATACTTATTAAACTCTTTGGCTGCTATACGAATTTGAAAATTTCAAGCAGCCGCCATCTTAGATTTACGTTTTGACAGCACCATCAATTATACCACCTTCGAAAACCATGAAACTACACCTATGACGATAAATTGAAATTTTCGGGCACCTGCCATCTCTGATTTATATTTTGGCAGCACCATCGATTATACCACCCTCGACAACCATAAAAATGACAATCGTGACGATAAATTAAGAATTTCGTGCAGTCTCCATCTTGGATTTACATTTTGACAGCAAGATTCGTTTTACCATCCTCGAAAACACTATAAGGTTTACCTACCTCGCAAACCACGAAAACGACATCATAATCGGACTGTCAGTTTTTGCGTGATGCGTGAACATATAGACAGAAAGAATAAAAGTCGCGCTGATAAGCACGGTTTGTCAATATCAACTATTGTCTGTCAATAAGGTCGAATGATCTGAACACTATATGTTTTGTCTAAATGTTCATGTATCACGCAAAAACTAACAGTCCGATTATGATGAAACTTGTAATCATTATACTTTAATATACTGGGTACGTTTTATCCTGAAAAAGGAAATACACAAAAAACAAACTTAATTGTGCGGCTCGATCCCTAGCCACACTTGCTGTTCCAAACGCAAATATAAGCTTGTCGAATGTTAGATTGCCCATAGTGGACTTAACGCTGTAACTGTAAGGCCGATGGTTGAAATTAGCTTGAATCGATCTTATAAATGTGAAAATATGTGAGTTCATGTGTATGTTTGTTACTCATATTAAAACTGAAGGGGCCGGAATAAAATTCGGAACAGAGGTAGGTATGGTCTGAAGTATACTTAATACATAGGTATTTTACCTCTGGGATTGCGGGCGAAGGCGCTGGCAGAAGCTGCTCCCCAATAACTTTCTTTTTCCATTTTGATGCACATATCAGACATATCTTAGAAAACGATAAAAATTTTAAACAAAAACTGTTGATGATCAATCTGCCAAACCAACTGTACTCAACCAACGGCCCGTGTGCTAATTGCAACAGATAATTGTTATTTTTTCCCAAAAATATAAAAGTTTGCAAAGAAGTGCGCTGCCTCCTCGCAACCCAGCCATCGCGAAGGACACACCGGGCGTCGAGGATCGCGGGACGATCTCCGGCCACCGTAAGTGCAATCCTGCGGACGGCGAGCATGGGTGGCTCCCCGTCCGACCAGAAACAGACCCGAGCGTACGGCGTCGCGTTCCGCGCGCGCCTTAAAGAGCCATCAGATCACCACAGATGGGGCCCAACAAAGCCGATGCCGATTCGGAGTCGCGGAGAACCTAACGGGTATCCGGCTCGACGTGCAGGAGAAAGAACGTGGTGGTTTTTAGTCAGTAAGAAGCTGACACTCCCTCCCGCCTCACCCAGGCGGGAGCAGTCATTTGATGATTTTCCCCCCTTAAAAAAAAAGGACTTGTGAATGGAAAACTAAGCAAGGAGATTATAAAACATGCATTAGTATTAACAATATGCTCCAACCATTTTGAAGAAGATTGTATGAACAGAACATTGAATTTTATTCGACTTCAAGATAACGTAATTGAAATTCCTGCTCTTTTTGAGAATGGCCAAATTTTCAATGACACTATCAGTGAACATGAGAGTTCTCATAAACTGTTATTCTTACATATTTAGATATAAGGTATAAATATTACGACAAAAAGCATGACTATGTTAGTCGAGTGTCAAAAAAATTTTCGCCATGAATATATTATAATCAGCAAAACATTTGACATTTATTCAATAAAATGCACTCTGACCTACCCCTGTCCCCATTGCAGCAGTACTGTTTCACATTACAGGAAAACGCACGGTGATGGATGATATAACTGTTTTTGAATTTTAGTTGTCTGACTTTATATAGGTATATTATGAAATAAGTTCAGTCTACGTGATTTTGGAGCAACGTTTTATAACCAACATTCTCTGGAAGGGTCAGGTTTTTTAAATACAGTACTCGCTTAAAAATCTTATGTAAAGTTATCGTTGAAGGAAGGTTCCAATGGTATTGATATTTATAATATTAGTGAGATTATGATTATGTGAATGCTTTACCATCAGATCTACTTTTTTAGCAATTCTTTTATTTCTTTGTTTCGAATTGAACTAAATGATGAGTTATTACTTTATATTTACATTGAATTGCCTATGTCGATATGTTATGTCGACGTAGGTACAACACTATTGTGAGCGGAGATCCGACTTTTTTGAGGTATTTTTGGCTTCAAATCACGTGACCATATTTCAGATCCCCTACATTTTTATGGATGTGACTAAGAGCAGTAGAGACACTGACAGCAGCTGTCACTGCTGTAAATGTCCATTTTAAAATGCCCGGTTTTGTTATGATTTTGTTTACATCTATGAACTTTCGCGTACAGCTACCTATAATAGCTTTCGATATTATTTTGATGGTGTAAATAGATATTTTTAGCTGTTTATTGTAGATTACTTTACATTTTGTTTTAGCTTCTGAACAGAAAACACTTTACGAAATATTTTTAAACGCTGTTTCAAATGTTGGTTACAATTTGATGAAGCAACAATTAACAAAATGTTTACTACGTTTATTTTTATGCTAGTGTATTCTCTGAATTTTACATGTGTTTATTCCCATGAGAAAACTGGTTTCATTGTGTACTGTCCTTGCATGGGTAAGTTAATTTATTTGTTGTGCTTCATTTTGAATATCGTCTTATGAATAATAAGTTGAAGTACATTCAACGAGTGAACCGCCAGTACAATTGCTGTGAATTCTTGATGTAAATTCCAGGATTGTGTATTATTATCACGTTTTTATTAATAATATTAATAACAATTTATGTCGGCGTGGTTTCACCCCACTGCTCGGTTCGTCTTTTTTTTATTTCATGTTGTATCTTATACTTCTGCTTACTTTATTATATAAACCTGAAGAATTTATTTTATAAACGCGGTACCTAGTCTCTGAAACTACTGATCTTGTTGAATTATTCTTTTTGGATTGGATAGTGTGTTTATTGAGGAAGGTTATCTTACTCTGACTATTATTATAAATGTTTTGAGTTTGTGTGTAGGTTTAGTGCTTAATCACGTCAAAACGGCTGAAGGGATCAGGTTACTTTTTATCTCATGGGAATGTAGGCCAGGCCGAGGGCAGAAGCTAATTAGTTGTAGTGTAATGTTTTATAGATTTCCTCAATAAATGCACCATCCAACTCAAATTGAATAATTGAATAAGATCAGTAGTTCCAGAGACTCCGGCATTTAGAAAATAAATTCTATCTATTCAACACAAATAGTATATTCAATTCATAATAGTTCAATTCGACTCAGTAGTTCTAGAGATTGGTCTTTTCAAACAAACTCTTCAGCTTTATATATTAACACGTTGAACGCCCAAACAAATATACGCTTTCGCCCTATGGGCCATGGCAGACACGGTTTGACTGCCAGTACGATCTGTGTTAAAATGTCTTTACTGGGCTGGCAGACATCAATAAGTTTGTGAACGTTATTTGCAGTGGCACTGTAGAACAAAACTCGCGCCTTAGCGCGGCAAAAATCTCACAAGTCTGAGATATTTGGGACCCCACACATCTTTTTTGTAACATTTCTGGTTTAACATTTATGCAGATGAATTTTAATTAAATAAATTATGTGAAACAGTTATGATTTTAATTATTTACATAATTGAGGTATAAAATTAAGCATGACAAATATTAGAAAAATACCTTTATTAAAAAAAATATATTTACTTTAATTGGAGATCAAATAAAAGAAATGACTTCTTTTTTAATTATACATAATAAAAATGAGAAAAAAAAAACAATCGAAACACATGTACCACTGGAGTAGTAGCGAGAGCTAGCGCAGCGCATACGCACGGGCGGGTGCGGGGGTTGGTTGACAAGGTGACCCGCGCGGCCCCCTCCCCTGAAATAACGAATAGTGCATTGGCTGGGCCACGGCAGATAATGGTGACTGCCAGTTATTTTTCTCTATATTTACTATTTTGGCTTTTGTATTTATTTCATATTAGATTATACCCATTTTTCTACAATTAAACCGGAAAAATATGTTTACAAAGTTTGACTGTTTTTTAATATTTCATCAAGCCCACTGAGAGCACACAATGGCAGATACATGGTGTCTGCCATGGCGTTTAATGTGTTAAGTAATAACTATGTAGAATTACAGATAGATTGTCTGGATAACAATGCAAAAATATTTTTATCTTAACATGATGTTTCTTTTCTATTATTTATATTTTGGCTCATTGGGTTAACATTTTGGGGCAAAGAATAGGTTTGAAAAGGTGTATTGTTATAACATAAATTTATTGAAATATTTTCAGGAAGATTTGGTAATCAGGCAGATCACTTTTTAGGAGCATTAGCATTCAGTAAGGCTATTAACAGAACTTTGGTTCTGCCTCCATGGGTGGAATACAGATTTGGTGAACCAAGATCCATTCAAGTACCATTTGATACTTACTTCAAAGTAGCAAACCTAGAAAAATATCACAATGTGATGACAATGGAGTACTTCATGAAAGATTTGGCTCCTAATATTTGGCCAAAGTTTAAAAGGATCTCTTTTTGTTACACGCAAAGAATGGGTGAAGTAGAAAACAGTTGTAATGCCAAGTCTGGTAACCCATTTGGGCCTTTCTGGGATAATTTTAATATTGAGTTTGTGGACTCTGAATTTTACGGACCTTTAAATTATGATGCCCATAACAAAATAATGATAGACAAATGGAAAGATAAATATCCTTCTACAACATGGCCAGTTTTGGCTTTTACTGGTGAGTATTCTTTTACTTCATCATTGGCTAACTGATTTACTGGTTGCAAGTGTGACTACTATGCAAGGAGTATTAAGTTTAAGAGCAGGGTCAGACAGTGTAAATTTAATTTTTTTATGGGATAGGGCATCAAACATGCAGACTTATCACTTCATGGTAAGCATTTTGTGCCACAAATGGATACCTGCAAGCCTGCAACACCGGACTAGTCTAGATGTTTGTGCGTATTATAACTTTCGTGAGACATTCTAAATTAATTAGTTGTGTGTGTGTTATATATATAAAAATAATAAAAAATAAAAGCTATAATAACCTATCCATGGTTTGTAACAGGAACTACCTAGCTTGTTACGAACCATGGCCAGATATTTCGTGGAAGTATGTACGCAAATTGTATTGTTTGTACATTCCAGGTGCACCTGCGAGTTTTCCAGTACAAAAAGAAAATGTTCATTTACAAAAATATCTTACATGGAGTGATGATATAGCTAGCAAAGCTAGAACATTTATAAAGAAGAATATGAGTGGTGGTGCCTTTTTGGGCATACATTTAAGGAATGGACAGGATTGGGTGAAAGCATGTCAGCATGTCCAAGATAGTACTATGCTGTTTGCTGCACCACAATGTGTTGGTTATAAAAATGAAAGAGGTCCACTTACGTTGTCTATGTGCCTACCCCAGCCGTCTGAAATTATCAAGTAAGACTTTATTGTGTACTTTCTAGTTAAATAAAAATACACTTTTACCTGATCGCATCATTGACACATTGAAAAGAAAGTATGAAATTATACAAATGTTTAGATCGAATTCGATAAATGCTAACAATTTTTTAGAAACATTTTATTCATTAGTACCTAGCTACTCCTATGCAGTCTCGCCGCTTCTTAACTGCAAGTCTTCTTGGATAAATAGATTCCAACACAAAAATAATGATTAAATTCGAATTAGTTCTCGAGATTAGTGCTATCAAACTAATGTAAGTGTGGGAGAGCCATGGTTCGACCGCAGTGATATCACGGCATCACAGAAAACCGACGTGAAACAACGCTTGCGGTGTTTCGTCGTGTGAATGAGGTGACCGAAGGCCCAACTACCACTTCCCTAATCCCGACATTTTTCCAATTTCTTAAACCCCGTCGGTAAAGCACTTATAACGCCTCTGGAATTCCACCGAATTCCACAAATAATACCGGTAATCCAACCGCTCGTTTATCGGCTTATCCCATAAAAATCCTTCAGCTTTATAAACATATTTTTATATGTTAAGTATAGATAGGTTAATTATTTACTTGTTGTACCCACTAATAATATTATTCAATTTTTAGGCAAGTAAAGAGGGCACTCAAGAAACTGGAAAATGTAAAGTTCATCTTTGTGGCATCGGATTCCAATCATATGATAAATGATTTGAACAAAGCAATACATCATTCTGAAGTTGCAGCTATTAAACTACAGCCATCAAATCCACATCTAGACTTAGCAATTCTTGGCCAGGCGAATTACTTTATAGGCAATTGTGTATCATCCTACTCAGCTTTTGTAAAGAGGGAAAGAGATGCAAGAGGTTTACCATCCGAATTTTGGGCATTTCCACACAGAAAGAAAAGTAAACATGAAGAATTGTGACATGAAACTGCATTATTTGCAATAGGGATGACGACAGGGTATGCAAATTAAAAATGTAATTAGTTCGTCAGTTAGGTAATGAAAAAATATTAGACACGTATTTTTTTTATTTGGTTTAATGGGTAATAAATTGATACTACTACTAGGTTCTCCGCGACTCCGAATCGGCATCGGCCCTTTTGGGCCCCATCTGTGGTGGTCTGATGGCTCTTTGAGGCGCGCGCGGAACGCGACGCGCCGTACGCTCGGGTCTCTTTCTGGTCGGACGGGGAGCCACCCATGCTCGCCGTCCGCAGGTCCGTGCTTACGGTGGCCGGAGATCGTCCCGCGATCGCGTGCGTGCGTTACCCAGGCCAGATGCTGTCGAAAATGGTCATTAATTGAATCTTATAGATAATTAGTTGTGCGGCTTCTGTAATAGTTGCGCACATGTTTAAATTTGTTGCGCTTATAGTTTTTTAATTATTTCACAAAAACATATCCTGCTGGGGTAACGTTACCCAGCCAGACCTTTTTCTTTCTAATGGGAATATTTAAATAATTACTAGCTATGAAGTTAGTTGCCTAGATGAAGTAAATGTTGTGCCTTGTTTTGTATTTGTTCTTTCATCGGTTGCGAAGTTATTCGAGATTTTGCTAGATCTTTGAAATGGTTTAGCGGATTCTTATCATATTTGGTACATGGCTTGTTATTAATTAGTTCAAAGGTAATGGCCCATTTAGTGTGAAGAATATACCCACGGCGTACAGAAATAAAATATGGCGGGAATCAAAGACAAATAATTATACTTTTCAATGATAAGTGGCGCATTGCTGTGGCTCATGGGGATCATGAAAGAATAATAATAAAAAAATGTAATCTACCATGAAAACTTATAACTTGTGGTTTTAGGGAGCAGAAAATAAAATACATTTTTTTAATGTTTATTCAGCCTCATCAATGTCTAAAACTATGTCTATTTTTCTACCTGCTGTGGATGTGTGCATTATATTTTTGCGTGAGCGCAACAAAGCTGGTTATCAACACGAGTAAGACAGAGACAGCAATATACGTGTATTATATACCTGACCGAACGAGTTTGCTTTGTGTGTGATGATATTTTTATTTAACAAAACAATGGCAAAATAAGTTTGTTTGTTTCATTTTCAAGTCTAAACCACTGAACCGATTTTGATTAAATTGCTGTGTATAGATATATTTTTTGATTTAGAGTCGGACATAGTATACTTTTTACCCAAGTGACATGTGTCCAAGGATAAAATAATTTACAGACTGGCGAAACCGCTAATTATTATCCAATTTTTATTGGTCTGCTGCAAGATTTCTCCAACGAATTATTTTTTTCTTTTTACATATAATGAAAAGTGGATTATACTTGCATTATTTACCACCATTTTCGTTTTTGTACAAAAGCATTTCTGAACCGGGTCGGATTATGGGCCATGACCTTTGTTGTGTAATAAAAAATCCAATATAATAAATAGCTTAAAAGTTATTTTATTAAATAGAAAAACACTTAAATTGGTCCCAGCACATCATCTGGCCTGGGTAACGCACACCCCGCGATCTCCGACGCCTGGTGTTCCTTCGCGATGGCTGGGTTGCGAGGAGGCAGCGCTTCGCTGCCTCACGCGTCCCACCTCCTCCTTAGCTAGCATGACTGCTTCGCAAAAGGGGGAGACGGCATCCCAGTCCCCCTCGCTCCGCATCATGGCCCGCACTAGGCCCGGACGCGAGAGGTCGCCATCGCCGATCACGTCCCTGAGGGCACGGCGGTGCTCAGCCCACGCAGGGCATTCCGCTACAGTGTGTTCCACCGTGTCCTCAGGGCGGTCCTTGCAGTGATGACACCCGGGCGTTTTCTCCCGCCCCATCAGACACAGGTACCTCCCGAAACTTCCATGTCCGGTGAGGACCTGCATCAGGCGGTAGGTGAGAACGCCGTAGCGTCTCTCAAACCACTCCTCAAAGAGGGGACTTACCGCTGCAATGGCAGCGAGCCCAAGGAGTGGGGGCTAAAACGTCATTTCTACGTTTAGATTGCACACGGAAGTGACGTCACGCGACATTTCAAATCAATATATCTTCGTAACTATTCGTTTTCGTAAATAAATTCGTATTAAATACGTGTTAATGTTTTTAAATAATCTACCAGACGGACATTAAAATAATACTACCCTATAAAGGATAATATCTATAGACATTAACCGCTTGAATGCACCGATATGAGACACAATAGAAAATACATAGGTACATTGTGTCTCGCGTGGATCCACGTTTAGACAAACGACGGATTAAAGTTAGCAGAATGTAGCGATTATTATTATGTTCTTTTAAAATATGTATAATTATATTTTAATTTTAGTTTAGTGTCTAGTTAAGTATTACAGTGTGAAATATCAATAAAAAACAATTTCAAGCGCAAGTGATTCTTGATTTTGACCTTCATTATTAACAGAAAGAAAGAAGGTTCATTCCCATCTTCCCACATGTTATCCTTAAAATGGGCAAAATGAGATGGGAAACTTCGGAAAGGAAGATTATTTTGTTGTCCTATTCCACATAAGTATAGTTTGAATGAAATCAAGCATGATTGTGATGACGAAACTTTTACTTCCTATCTTCCACGAAAAAAGATGCCCATCCTAATTCGGGGAAAATGTATGTTGGGGAAGATGTGAATGAACCGAAATAATACATGTTGTTTACTGTCAGAGCAATTCGTAATTGTAAATCTCTTACAAAAATATTTCCTGTACATTACTTGCTAGTGTTGCCTAAAGTCTGCGAACAGACATTGTCTAACTTTGGCGACTAAATTCACCATTCGGACTTCTACTCACGTCCGCATGAGGTAAACTGCGAATATAGAGCGACTTAGGGGAATGATGACGACGATGAGTAGCCATTGATTCAGTAAAGATGCAGTTTTTAAAAAGCTGCATAGTTACAAAAACACAAATGTTTCCTCTTTGTAATATTAGTATAGATATCAATGAAACAAAAATTTACTATAATGTTATGTATTAAGCTAAACCAGAAAAAAAATCTGAAGCATTTTTTATACTACTTGATGGTAAGTTATTACTCAGGTCTCTTCTTTTATTTTGTTTATGATTAACATCTATAATCGAATCAATTGATTCAAAGTATGATATATTCCAAAATTTTACATCATTGTCATGTGAACATGAAGCTATATATTGGCCATCATGGCTAATGTCAAGACGTTCAACAGGAAGTCTATGTTGGCCCACTACACCCAGCTGACGTTGTGGGAACATGTGTGCTGCTCTCAGTACGCCATCTTCACCTGATGTAACTACTATATTTTGTGTAATAGGTACCATGCACTGGATGGCATGTTTTTGTCCAATATATTCATCACTGTGAAGTCCAAATTCTTTCCAATTAAATAAATATAATTTTCCAATTGATGAAGCTACAAGTAACTTAGTATCGGATCGAAATAGTCCTAAGCATGTTAATTCCGAATCATATTCTTCTGATGTGGTGAATATTTTACTGAAACAAGAAGTATTATTGATTTATTTTGTTAGTATGAGGATAAATCAAGGAAGACATTTATTTAGTGATAAACATTTTGGTATGTCTGAATTTTCATTAATGTTCTTACCTTCCTTTAAGGTCAATAGAAGTAAGAACACCATCTCCACTTGCACAAACTAAATACTTCTGTGCATCATTAGTTATCATATCAGAGACATGTTCTTCACCAATTTTGATATTAAATATAGGATCCGGTTTTCTCATATCCCATAACTTGACAGTACCTCCATCATCACCTGAATTATAAAATAATTTATTAATTTCATGTCAGGATAATATGAAGAAAATGTAGGTACAGAAAGAAAGCTATCAATAGCAAAAGTATACCAGTAACAATTTTATTATTGTCCAGATTTACAAGTCTATAAATTGGTTCATCATGTGCATTTTCATAACATCTCTTCAGTTTTTCTGTTTGAACATCTGTAGCCATTATGGACTTATCCTGCAAATTAATATTTTAATTGAAATAGGTTAATTTATATTAGAAGTAAAATGGCGAACCAAAACATCCTTTACTATCCAGGAATTGAACTGGCTCCTTTGTCAGTATTTAGTATGCTGTTGTTTAGGGGTAGTCAAGGTAGTAGAGAGAGTCAAAGAAGTCATTAGGATTATAAGCTAATTCTGAGAGTATTAAAAAAAATACAAACTTTAGCAGTTGAATATAAGGTGGTTCCCTCATTATCAAATTCAATATCTCTACAGGCTTTGAGATGAAGTTCCAATGTGTTCAGAAGTTTTGTCTCATCGTTGTTATATTCATATAATAATACATCTCCCACAATGTTTGCAATTGCTATTAAATTCCTCGATGGGTGAAGTGATATATCAACAATAAAATCTTCACATGTAATAGTTGGGGGATGATCTCGGGGTTTGTTTTTTTCAGCTTTTATTGCTTTAATAACTTCATCTTCATCATCATCCTTATCATCATTATCATCTTCCTTTTCTACTTTATTTTCACTGGATTCATCTTCACTCATTTCATTTTGGTCTGAATCTGTAAAAACGTAAAGTTTTACACTCATATCGAATAAGCATTCAAAATCATAATAATTTTTTTTTAGTTTCAAATAATTTGTCAAAGAAACAGAGTCCATCGTGCTAGTACTACAATATTTACAACTCGTAAATATGTAAGTCGTACTGCTGCCAGCGGCTTCGCCCGTAAAATAAATAGTATCGTATGTGTTATTCCAGATCCCTGTTCCAAATTTCATTTCGATCCCTTTAGCCGCTTTGAGTAACAAACATACACACATATTTTCTTATTTATAATATTTGTCGGATTCAAGCCGAACTTAGGTTATCCCAGGAACAACACGCGCGCGACTTACCATCATTATTATCTGATAAATCACCTTCACTTGAATCATCGTAGCTAGATGAATCCTCATCTGATGAGTTTTTATCAAAGCTTTTAAAGTTATTTGTCATTGCTGTTTATAATGTGTTCTGATTTAATTTTCAATTCAATTATAAACAAACGCTAATAAGCGAGGATGGCCCAGATGTGAACGTCACGTCAACGTTAAATTGATTGACATTGACACTGACAGTGACGTTGCTTGGATGTGCTGCGGAGATTCGGTTGCCAAAGGAAAAAAAAAATCTATGGCTGCGATGTGCACATAGACCATA